TGGAGGACGGGAAAGGCAGCGGAGCACAACAGACACTAGTATGGCAATATGTAAATCAATGGATGTGTAACTGATGTGATTCTGCAATCTGTGTATGGGGGGAAGGTGAGAGTTCATAACCCACTTGAATCAAATTGTGGAATATGATATGTCAAGAAATTTGTAATGTTTTGAACAACCAACAATAAAAAATTAAAAAAAAAAAAAAACTTGTACTGTCCCATAATTTTGCCTTTTCTAGAATATCATATAATTAGATTTACATAGAATGTAGCCTTTTTATACTGTTCTTTTACTTAGCAATATGCTCTTTAGGTTCATCCATGCCTTTTCATAATGTGAAATATAATTTCTTTTTATCACTGTTTAATATTCATTGCATGACTGCACGCAGTTTATTCCTTTACCCATTGAAGGGCAGCCTGGTTGCTCTGTCAGATTCTTGTTGCTGTGACCAAAATACCTGACAAGAACAACTTAGAGGAGAAAGTTTATTTTGGCTCACAGTTTCAGAAGTTTAGTCCATGGTCAGTCAACTTCATTGCTCTGGGCCTTAGGTGAGGCAGAGTTTCATGGCAGAAGGACATGGCAGGAGAAAATGGCTCAGCTTGTGGCAACTAGGAAGCAGAAAGAGAGTAAGAAACAATGGACAAAATATAAACCCAGGAGTCATGCCCCCAGTGACCTACATTTTCTAGCCATGTCTTACCCGCCTACCATTCAGATTGTGAATCTGTCAAATGAATTAATCCACAGATGAGGTTACAGCTATCATCATGTAATCATTTCACATCTGAACATTTCTGCATGTACACAGGACCTTTAGGGGGACACCTCATATCCAAATTATATACTGTTGCTTTCAAGTTTTGGGAAGGATGCGTAAAGCATAAATGCATAAACATTTGCGTAAGGTTTCTGTCTGCATGTGTCTTTTAATGGTAGTAACAGCTACCACCAATACATGTGCCTCAATAACATACAGTGGTGTCACTCACTTACCTGGAATCCACTCAGAGTGAGCTAAGTACCTCTGCTGGTCTTGGCTGAGCTTGCTTGTAATTGTCTAAGGGTTGACTGTCAGCTCTTGTAGTGTGGCTTCAGCTGGAGTAATTGGGACCACTAGGTTGTGCTTTTGTTTGTCTCATCCCTTGGTAGGTTTATAGAGTTCATGGAAAGTCAGAAGCTTAATAAATCAAGAAGAAACATGCAGGCCTCTGACAGTGACTGACATATTGTCACTTCCGTCTCATCCTATGGACTTGTGCAAGTCATCCAGCCAAACCCAGTGTCAGTGGAAGACACCAAGAAAGTTACATGACAGTGGTCTGGATACAGGGAAGAGTGAAAAAACTGAGCCACTTTGCAATTTTATGGTACAAATTATAATCCCTCTTTTGTACGACTCATCTTTGCTCTTTCTTTTCAGAGACATTTCACAGTATTTGCATTCAACTTTCCATCTTTGGATGCTCTAAACACCATCTATGGGCAAATCTTCAGTTTCCATTTCCAGCACCAAGAATTTGGCCCATCAGTTTTCAGAAGTGGCCCTTCTTTGATCCAGGCGACAATAGCGTTCCATCAGATGATGATGCAAACCTTTTTACCCACAGCTATAAAATTCCACTACATTTTTAATCTGAGAGACCTATCAAACATCTTCCAGGTACCCTGACTGCTCCATATTATCCTTCCCAAGTAGAGAAGTAATTGTAGGAATATTAATGCGTTCATTTATGGAACTTAACTTTAAAGCTATGCTATATAATTTTATGTACATTCTTTTATTTTATACTCATAAGCTTCTCTGTGAAGTAAATACAACAGGTTTATTATTTGCTTTTTTTTATCTTCAATTAGAACAGTGGTTTCCCCTCAGTTTGCATATTGTCTTAGTCTTTTGTGCTGCTATAACAAAGTGCCTGAAAATAGGTAGTTCATACATAATAGAAATTTATTTCTCACAGTATTGGAGGCTTGGAAGTCCAAAATCAAGACACAAGCATGTTTGGTGTCTGGTAAGGGTCTGATTAATGCTTCCAAGATGGTGACTTGAACACTGTGTCTTTCTGTGGTTGAGGAGATAGAAGGGCAGAGGGACAAGCACATAGCACCTCTTTAACATCATCTGCCCCCATGACTTAATTATCTCCCAAATTTGGGAAGATATTCAACTATGTCTCACTTAGCAATAGAAGCAGAGATAGAGATTTGGACTCCTTAAGTTGAGTGAGTGAGTGGTCATATTTTGGCATAAAACATTCATATGTGATTTTTAAAAAATGTATTCTAATTTGTTATATATGACAGTAGAATGCATTTCAATTAATATTACACATGTATAGCACAATTTTTCATATCTGGTTGTACACAAAGTAGAGTCACACCATTCATTTCTTTATACATGTACTTAGAGTAATGATGTCCATCTTATTCTCTTAACATATGTTAAGAGAAATAATTTTTAAATTTTTAAATTTGGTTTGATACTGAAAATCAGTTTACTTACCTAGTATGTTAGTCACCTTTTTGTTACTGTAACAAATACCTGAAAGAATTGACTTATTAAGAGAGAAGTTATTTCACTCACAGTGTTAGGGGCTTCAATCCGTGATCATTTGGCACCATTGATTTGGGCATGGGACAGCACATCAAGACAGGAGTGCATGGTGAAATGAGACTGCTCACCTTGTGACCAGGAAACAAATGAGAGAAGAAGGGGCTAGGGTTTTATTATCACTTTCAGGGTCACAGTCCCAATGACCTAAAGACCTCCCACTAGGCCCCACCTCTTAAAGATTTTACTGCCTCTCGACAGCGCCATACTGGGGACCAAGCCTTTAGTCGTAGACCTTGCGAGGCAGGGGGTGCACTTAAGATTCAAATTACAGTATTTGGTAAAAGGACAGTGTTTGTATATTGAGTTTACAAAGGAAGAACTGAAAAAAGAGTTGAAAATTTAGAATTGAGGCAGATCCAACTAGTATGATCTACCCTGTATAGTAAATGTAGTTGGAAGGTTATTTATAATGTAAAATTCTCTTGTGAGAGAGAGAAGGGGGAAATCTTCATAGGATTTTTTTTATAACTCTTTTCAAAATTACTCCTAAACTGCCTCAGAACCCTAACACAGCATCAGATGATAGTTATTAATAACATGGATCATTTCTTTTCATATCTGTTTTATAGCAACTGCCAGAAAGACTATGCTTAATATAATATTGGTTTAAAAGCAGATTGGGGGGCTGGGGTTTGTAGCTCAGCAATATAGCACTCGCCCAGCATGTGCAAGGCCCTGGGTTCGATCCTCAGCACCACATAAAAATAAGTAAATAAATAAAGTCATGTGTCCAACTGTACCTAAAATTTTTAAAAATAAAAATTAAAAAAGCAGATTGGGAGCTGGGCGTAGTGGTGCCCACCTGTCATCCCAGCAGTTTGGGAGGCTGAGGCAGGAAGATGGCAAGTTCAAAACCAGCCTCAGCAAAAGTGAGGCACTAAGCAACTCAGTGAGACCTTGTCTCTAAATAAAATACAAAATAGGGCTGAGGATGTGGCTCGTGGTTGAGTGCCCCTGAGTTCAATCCCTGGTACCCCTCCACCCCAAAAAAAGCAGATTTGGAAGGGGCGGCTGGGGATATAGCTCAGTGGTAGGGTACTTGCCTAGCATGTGTTAGGTAGGCCCTGTGTTTGATTGCTGACCCCGTGAAAAGAAAACACAAAAACAAAACAGTTTGAATCTTAAGAAAGGGAAAGAAGACTCTAGGTAAAGTGGAATGTGGTCCTGCCTGCTCACCCTTCACAACCAGCCCATCAGGGGTACCTGATGCCTCCAAGTAATTTTTTAAAAAAATATTTTTAGTTGTAGATAGACAAAATGCCTTTATTTTATTTATTTATTTATTTATATGTGGTGCTGAGGATTGAACCCAATGCCTCACACGTGCTAGGCAAGTGCTCTACCATTGAGCTACAACCTCAGCCCCTTTTTTAGCCTTTTGAAGCTCAGTTCTACACAGCTCCCTGGTGTTCTGTAAGTGCTGAGCAAGCGCAGCACTCTCCATGACAAATGGGCCTGTATGAACCAGGATCCTGAAGGGCAGGGTAGAGTGGGCACAGGAGTCACGGTGTTTTGGTGCTAATCCCAGATCTGCCCACAAAATGTGAATTTGAGCAATTTACTTTGGTCTTATATTGTTTGTCAAGTGAAGGGGTAAGACTGATAGCAAATGATTTTTAAGTTTAAAAAAAATGCTTTCTGTGATATCCATGTTGTTTGTCTTTTGGTTCTGTGAACTCAATCCACCGGGAGACTTTATAAGTACAAGTACTCAGATGCGGTGTTTAGTTCATGAACTAATGAAATACAGTACTAGTTGTATTATTAAAAATGGGTATTGGCTTTCGTCATTTTTTTTTTTTTTTAACTAAAGACCTGCCCAGAACAATTTTTGAGGAGGAAAAGTTTATTTGAGGGCTCACAGTTTTAGAAGTCTTAGTCCACAGAAGGCCAGCTCCATTCCTTAGGGTTCAAGGTGAGGCAGAACATCATGGCAGAAGAGTTCGGTAGAGGGAAGCAGCTCACCTAATGGTCAGGAAGCAGAGAGAGTCCTTCCACTCACCAGATACGAAATATAGACCCCAAAGCCACTCCTTCAATGCCCACCCCCTCCAACCACACTTTGTCAGCCTCCAGTTACCACTCAGTTGATTCCATCAGGGGATTTATTCACTGATTAGTTAAGGCTCTCATAACCCAACCATTTTTTTTTTTTTTTTTGAACTTTCCTGCATTGACTCACACGAGCTTTTAGGGAACACCTACATCCAAGGACCATAACATTCTGCCCCTGGCTCCCAAAAGCTCACACTCATCTGACAATGCGAAATACATTATAGTGGTATTACATTTTTTAATGTTGATTATCAGAAGGTGAAGTGTTCTTTTAAATTGCTAAGTTTAGCATACAGTTAAAAATAATTAAAATTAATGTATTTAGAATATAATAAACTTCTGAATTAAAGGTACATTTCCATTTTCACCTTATAGGGAATTTTGTTTGCTTCTCCTGAGTGTTTAAAAGTTCCAAATGACTTAATGCACCTGTGGCTCCATGAATCTTCCCGTGTTTATGGAGACAAACTGACAGACACAAAAGATAGTGATTTGTTTCAGAAAAAATTGCTGGAAACTGCTTATAAATATTTTGAAGTAAGTACATGAATTTCAGAGGTCATTACTTGCTGTGGTACCAGTTAGTGTTTAGGCCAAATTTGGAGAAGGACGTGAGTGAGTTGCAGGTCCCTTTTTACTGGGATTCCAAAACATTCTGGGTCTGGACTTGGGCGCACCCTCCCACTTACCTTCTCATGGAGGGATTGGCAGGCTTTTCCCTTGATAGGGTGCTCTGCCTCAAAGGAATCTTTCTCAATAGTTGATACACCACAGTTTTCTTTTCCTCATCCTGTAGGGTGTCAACAGTCACGTGCTGCTCCAACAACCCCTTGTTTATTGCCACTTTGCTCATGGTGGGAGAGACCCATGTTACATGCCAGTAAAGGACTGGGAAGTGCTCAAGATGATTCTCCTGGAAACATTAGACAACTACAATGAGCTGAATGCCGCCATGCACCTGGTTTTATTTGAAGATGCCATGCAACATGTGTGAGTTGACTGGTCATGACATATTTTCATGAGTGTAACAAACATGTTGCTATTTTGTCATAATCTTAACATCTTATATAGGCACACTACTTTTTTCTGTACCATTATATACATGCAAATTTTCACTTTATTTCACTGTAGCTGTGTCAGATAAGCATATTAAGAAAGAAGATGAATGAGTCATTCAAAATCACATAATTCCTAAGTGGGAGAGACAGGACTCAACCCGATTCTCCTGGAATGAGCAGGTTTTATGGGGTGCCCACTTGAGTGCCAAACAGGAAATAGCATTTCTTTAGTACTTTGGGGCAAATTAGAAAAAAAGAAGGAAGCATATTTTATTGGCAGAAAATTAAAGATAGCTGTCCTGGGGTGGAGCTTAACTGACAAGGCTCTCGCTCCCTCCTAACTGGGCACCTCATAGAGTGCACAACTGACCTACCTCTTGTCTCAGTCATTGTTCTTAGTGCTGGCTGGGGACACAGCAGCGAGCACCACAGCCCAGTCCCTTTTCGAATCGAGCTTATTTATTAGTGTCAACAATGGACATTTTTAAGGACATGAATAAATAAGCAGAAAAAGAAAAAGATCAGAAAGCAATGGGTCATGCTGAGAAATAAAATAGACTGATTCTAAGAAATAAGTTACTGATTGAGGATCCCTTATCTGAAATGCTTGAGTTCAGAAGTCTTGAGGATTTTGAAATTTTTGTTCAGATTTTGGAATATTTGCACATACATAATAAGATGTCTTAGGAGTGAAAACCAAGTTGAATCATAAAATTTATTTACATTTCCTGTGCATAACCTAAGGGTAATATTATACAACATTTGTAGTGGGTGTGTGTCTTGACTGTAACCTGTCACATGGTATCAGATGTGGAGTTTTCCATAAAGAGTTTTGGATTTTAGAGCATTTCAGGTTTCAAATTTTTGGATAAGGGACACTCAACCTGCATTTGGATTCCCAAAGAAGGCCTGGGTATCCATGGAAGGAGTTGACGTTTAAGCTGAAATCTAAATGATAAGCAAAGGTTCTGGGAAAGACTAGAAGAAGAACATTGCAGACCGAGGGCAGATTTCATGTTACCCTGAGGCAGGAATGTCTCAAGACAGAAAAAAGTCTCAAGGTGGGTGCAGCAGAGAGAGAAAATAGAGTGAGCAATATATGTCCAGGATGGAGAGCAGGGTGTGGTCTGACTGGTGAAGGGTGTTTCCTGGAACCAGGATAAGCACTTTGATGCCATTCTAAGTGCAGGGAGAAGCTGCTGGTGGATTTTAGCATGGGGATGACACAACGGACTCTAAGTCTAAAGAGCTCGCTTTGCCTCTGCTGGGTGAAGAGTCGATCGCATCTTTCCATCGAGTCCTGCTCTCCTGGTCCAGGTCACCCTCATCCTCACCAGCATTTCTGATCATTGACAGTGGACAAAGAGGAAAAAGGAACAAAACCATATCATTAGAAACAGGGAGGAGGAGGGAAGAATGAAGTAAGAGAATTCAAACAGTGAAAAAAACAAATGTGGAGAATTCAGTTTTTAGAATTTCTCTAAAATGTTTAGATTCAGTGCTTCACGAAGTGTGCCACCCTTATTGGGATCTCTTGTTATAAATACACGAAGCGCTGATGGTTTTACTGATCACTTTGCAGGGATCCTCTGCTTATACAGACAGGGTAGTTTTAATCGGCATCTAGGACTTTGGTATTCAGTAGGTTGTTCCGACAATGTTCCCGGCTGGTTAAGATACACTGACTGTGTTGTGGCTCTGGTGAAGCAAACCTCCCACCGACACTAGGGAAGCGTTTTCCCTGGTAGCCCTTCAGTGTGTGATTCCCCTGTGGCCTAACAGGTAAAGCCATGTCTTTGATCAGGGATTATGAGCTCAAGGCCGACTCATTCAGGTTGAAGATGATTTAAGAGCATGTCCTTGGGTATTGTAGAAAGGGAAATTGCCACTTAGGGAATCTCATGAGGCAGAAACTTTGAGGCAAGCTTTAGCATGAAATGCAAGCCTCGCTTGGAGCTTGGGGTCATAGCTTTCCCATGGTTGTTTTGTCATGCGGTCATGTAAGGTAAAATTTAATGGGATAACTGAGTTTGTAAAAATAATCTGTCTTTTCAGTTATTAGAGGTTTGGGGGAAATGTTCACCAGCACTGGTCTTAGTATAAATGACCCCAACTTCATTTTTTCACAAAGCACTATTTAAAAAAGAAAAGAAAACCTCAGGATCTTTCAGGGCCTGAAGTTTAAGTTCATTCCAAAGCAGGAACCTAGAGCAAAATGATGGCTTACTGTTTTTTGCACTTGTGCATCTACAGACTTATATTGTGTTGTGCTATGTGTCTAATTGTAACGTAACTATGGCTTATTTTTCAACTTAACCTACATTTCACTCATATTAAAGCCAATTTTAAAAATTCCTAGTTGAATGATGTAGCAATGATGTCAACAGCATAAGAATCTGGAACCTCTTGGATGCTATAGAACAAGGGATTATTTGGCCTTACTGGAAACTTAAGCTTTGATGCTGGATAGTTTCAGTAAATAATTCAACAGTGGTCTATGCAGGAAAGGCTTTAATTGAAGGAAATAAGAGTCATGTTAAGAGGCAAGTGTTTAATCTACATGGTGAATTAAGTGGAGATGTATGTTGGCCTAAACAAATTCATTCTCTCTGACATAACTATACAGGAAGATTCCAGGCCTGCAAGGATATTCTCCCTTGATGTTCTTGTACATGGATGCTGATGTGGAATTGGGATCATTCTTGTTAATCAAGAAACTTCAAAGTTTAGACACAAGGCCTTGTATATGTTTTCAAGTATGGTGGCAAATGATAAAGCAAAAAGAGTCCAAAATGTTGCGAACCTGAGAACACTGGATAGACAAACAGGTGGAGGGCAGAGTAGGCAGCATCCTCTTTTGTTGGGGAAACATGGAAAGGGACTAGTGTTTTCAATAAAAATTGGAATTTAGTCTCTAAATACTTATCTTAAAAAAGCAAAACAGACCTATCCCAGGGCCTTTGAGATTTCATATTGGGATGGGTGCTCTTTTACCAGATGTCGAATCAGCCGAATCCTGAGAACCCCTCGGGGATACGCCCTTTTAATTGGAGTTGGGGGCAGTGGCAAGCAGAGCCTGTCCAGGCTGGCAGCTTACATTTGTAGCCTCGAGGTCTTTCAGATCACTCTGACAGAAGGGTATGGGATCCAAGAACTTCGGGTAAGTAAAGTCGACAGTGCTATCGTCCCTCACTCTCTATGCCCAAATCTGCAGATGTTCAAGGTCCTACTCTAAAATGGTGTTCATATTTGCATGCAACCTATTCATATCTTCATGTATACTTTAAATTATCTCTAGGTCACTTATAATACCTAATACAATGTAAAATGCCAGGTAAAACATAGTTATATTGTGTAGAAAAATGACAAGGAAAAAAATCTGTATGTGTCCAGTGCAGCTGCAGCGTGGTTTCCCAAATATTTTCTTATATATATATATAAAATTTTTTTCTAGTAAATGGTATAAAAATTTCATTGATCATTCTTTTTTTTTTAGTTTATTTTTTTCCCAAATATTTTTGATTACCTGTTTGCCTCAGAGGCTTCTGACCCTTCTCTCTGGCAGACAAAGTATATGCTGAGAGTGCTCCCCCTCAGCTGGGAGTCCTAGTTTGGGCCCAGGTCTCCTTGACTACAGGGAAGGGCAGCTCCTTAGAGGAGTTATTTACTCTGGATATTTTGTCTTCCTGGTCAAATTGGTAATAATACATTTTTATGTATTTTTTATAAGTTTAATAAACCTGGCTCAGAAATATTTGATCCAGTGTTTGCTTACTCAAATATGTTTTTCCTTTGCATTAACTGACCCTGATGTTGAACTGTTAATAACCCTGTGTGAGAGAGGGTAGAAAGAAAAAGGCACTTTCTGGGTTGGGGATATAGCTCAATAGGTAGCGTGCTTGCCTCACATGCACAAGGCCTTGGGTTCAATCCCCAGAACCTCAATAAATAAATAAATAAATAAAGCACTTTCTTAGGACAAGTAGATTTCTTCCCTTTTAGATAGACTATGAGAATAAAATATCAAGAGCACATTCAGGAAACTGTGATGCTTTAAAAATTTTTCTCTTTCTTGTGGTAAACTTAAAACATAACTTTATTTATACTTATGATCAGTAAACAATCTAAAAACTCCAGTTAAAAGGCAAAGATTTTTCAAACTTAAAAAAAAAAATGAAGACTCAAATATATCCCATCAAAATGAATACTTTTCAACATAATGACACAAATAGGTCAAATAAAAAGTATAGAAAAGACATACCTTGAAACACTAATCGTAAGAGTTAGTGACTATGTTAACATTCATAAAAATAAACTTTAAGAAGTACCATGAAGAAAATAGAGGAATATTTTATAATAGTGAAAGAAAAAGTCATAAAATTTTTACTTCATAATTGTAATATTACTGAGAAAATGGTACTTTTAGTTTTAGAAAGTGCTATTTTAAATTATTAAAAATTCATGCTTTTAATGTTACTAGCTAAATAAAAAACTATTTTCAGTGAAAATAGAGTATTATTGGAATGAGCAGAAGCTGTCCTTCCATCCTGTTGCTGGAAGGAGGCATCCCTGAGAGTTCTACACCCTCTTAGAATGAAGCTGTCACTCATCAGCAGCTCCTTTCCACGCCCATGCTCCATTAAGCCACTTGTGTAGTTTAGCGTCATATAATATGACTCTCCTCATTGTATACCAGAAGTAGAGGTGACGTCATGCTGTCTTCCCCTGTGGCAAGTCTCTGGGAGGAAAGGCACAGAGCGCTGCCGCCATGCTGAAGTTCCCCAATTCTTCCCAGCACTCACTCAGGTACTCCCAACATCACATCAGCGTTTTAACAAAACATGAATGATGGCCTCTTTCCTTGCAGGTAGATCTTGCCAATTTGTACATCAGAACCGGAGCCAAGAACATGCCCACTGTGTTCCTGCTGACAGATGCCCACGTTCTAGATGAGAGCTTTCTCGTGCTGATTAATGACTTGCTGGCATCAGGTGATTAAACCAACACATTTCTTGAAAGATCTTCCCCAGTGACAAATTATCTGTAGTTTCAGTGAACTTTAAAGAGAGATAATTTGTCTTTGAGATGTTTGCTGGGACAGTCTTTGGGGAGAAACTTATAAACCTAACTAATTTGAGGTGTATTGCTTTCTTAGTTTGCTTATGGAGGAGGAGTGCCATAGAAAGGACTCCAGTGAAGTAAATGTTATTCCTACACATATGGGTTTAGTGGGTGTGTTCCTCATTGCTTGTCCTCAATGTTCTGTATGTCTGAAAACACAAAAAGAAAAAAAAAATGATATTTCTCATTTCAAACTCTTAAGGTTTAAGCGGATCTTTATTTTATAAAACATATCAGACGTTAAAAAGTCTCATCTAAAGTTTAAATTGCAATCACCTGTAGTAATTCTCCTCTTTTTTGGGGTGGGGGATGCAGGAGAAATCCCAGATCTGTTCAGTGATGAAGATGCGGACAAGATAGTTTCTGGAATTCGTAATGAAGTTCGTGGTCTGGGCATAGTGGACTCCAGGGAAAACTGTTGGAAATTCTTTTTGGCCAGGGTCCAACTACAGCTCAAAGTAAGAAACCCTTGCTTTCCCTGCATATTGTTTAAAAGTTGCTTTGGGCACTGTAATGTGAATCTGTAGCAGGAGTTACGTTACAGGTCTGAATTTCAGTGACTTTGGAAAGGATAAGTGCCCTTTAACAGGCTGTGTCTTCAGTGTGGTCCTCTCAGGTCTGCTGAGATGCTGGGCTCCTGGGAAGCCTTGGGCTGAGCCGAGTGTGCGGTGCCCAGCTGGACCTCATGTGTTTCTGTCCCAGCAGAGCTTACACTGTCACCACAGGCATCTGACAGGACAGGTGTAAACAGTGAGAGCATGTTCTGCTTCCTAAGTGGAATAGGTCACTCTGGAGGCACAATGTGCTGCATGTCAAGCAGGGATCAGAATTCATGGGGAGGAAGTTTCAGAAAGAGGAAATGGCAATTCTACAAGGGAGGAAAAACATGTTTGGTGAAACCTGAGATAGCCCTCCAAGACTGCAGCATGGAGTTCTTATGGGGAGACCATGATTAATAAGTCTGGGAAAATAAACTGAGATAAAGTAAGGAGTTTGTAAATCATTCAGTGAACAATAGGGAGAGTTTGGAGTTAAGTGACTGGTATGTCAATACTTCATGGCAAGTAATCTAGGGGTGTTACTCAAGTGTTCTGAGGTTTAACCCTGTGTTTTTCTCCTTAGGCTACTCTATGCTTTCGTGTATCATATGGGGATATGATACAACCAAATAACAGCTCCGTAAAGGAAAAGAATTATAAGAAAATTCTCCAAGTGTATGGCCAAAAGCTAATTTCAAAATGCTGTTACAGAAAATCCAGGCTTCCCAGTGTAAAAATAGTTTGTAACCTAAAAAGATTACTGCTTTACTCCTTCTGCTGTTGCTACACCTATCAAGTTAGTAACAGGTTCTGTGGCAGCTATAAAGCTAGAAGTATTTAAGGAAAGGGTATGGAGAGTGGTACTAGCCAGGGGTATACCTTGGTTTGAAGAAGGTGAAGGAGTAGACTAACACTCTGCAATTTCTAATTACACAGTAATCTTACTGAATAGTTCTAGGCTGATATTAGAAGGTTGGGACGTACGGTTCAGTTGCTTAAAGAGTTTTCTCCCCACCAAAGATGTGACTGAAACCAGACACAGAGGCACACATCTGTACTCTCAGTGATTCAGGAGGCCGAAATAGGAGAATTGCAAATTTAAGGCCACCCTAGGCTACTAAGGGAGACTATGTCTCAAGAAATAAAAAGGGATGGGAATGTAGCTCAGAGGTAGAACACCTCAGAGGTAGAACATGAACATCCATGGTACTACCAATTTTTTTAAAAAAAGAAATTATTGTTACTGAGTAGCAAGTCCAGGAATTTCTTCCCATTTCATGGTAATATGTTTGAATAACATTTTCTTTATGGAATGGGAAAACATTTTAATTTGAGGTAGTAATGTTATAAATCAGTGATTATCAAAGTCTGTTCCTCAGAGCTACAGAATCAATATCACCTAGAAACTTCTTAAAAATGTGAATTCTCCAATTCTATCCTAGACCTCCAGAAGCAGAAACTCTGTGGGTGGGGCCAAGAAATCTAAGCTTTAACAAGCTTTCCAGATGATTCCAAGGCTTCCTGAAACTTGAGAATTATCATTATAAATAATGCCATTATGTGCATCCTTTATATCTTTCATGCTCAACTTTGCTTATTTCTATAGCATAAATTCCTAGAACAGCAATTGCTACATTCCATAGTTGCAACTTGGGATAGCTTTTTAACATGCCTGCACATCCTTTGATGCTATTGTTACTGACAGGGACTGACAGGGTCATGTACATCACCTCTCCTTGAATATGGATGAACTTATGACGGCTTCAACTAATACAGTAGAACCAAAGCAATGTGGAGTAAATTCTGTGGCTAACTCATAAAAGGGCAGTTTCTCTATCGAACTATACATATTGTTGTTTATAAGAGTTCTATGCATATAAAGTAAATAGCCTTATAGTTATATGTGTGCCATATATATTTCCCCTATTCTTTTATTTAGCTTTTAAGTATGCATATGATGCATGCTTGTTTACTTGCTTATAACTTTTGAATATCTTTTTTAAAGTTCATCTCTTAGATTAATGAGTGTTTTCCTTAGTGAATTTGGGGTTTCTTATGAATTTAGAAAAGTATTTTATTTCCCAAAATTATCTTCAATAAAGCAGATGAAAATCAATTCAGAGAAGCAAAAACTCAACCAACAGTTCCTTAGCCTCTCATATCAAAAAGTCCAGACTGGCTGGCTAACGCCCTTGGAGACCCAGGGTCTTATGTCTTGTCTTTCTTCCAGTTTTTATCCTGTTGCCTCCCACCTCCGGATCACAGAGTGCCACAGGAGATTTTTATTGTAAGCAGGAAGAAGAAGGTGAAACAGATGTGAGGGTTACCTGGATCCGGAAACCAGTTCTCCCCAAAACCTTGAGCTGATATCTTACTGGTCACACTCTATCAACAGTTACCTGGGAGACTGGGAAGGGAATACTGGAAGTTGGCATGCTGCCTTTAAGCATAAAATTGAATACAGACTTCAGAATACGTCTGCCCCTAGATCTACTATGGGGTTACATCTCTATAAGCCCATCACAGGTTGAAGGTATTGTAGGTTGAAATGCATTCCACACACCTAACCTGTGAAGCATGGCAGCTCAGCAGCACCCTGCACTGTAGAGCCTCAGTCGTCACCTGTCATGATCACATGGCTGACTGGGAGCTGCTGTTGGCCGAGGCTGCCCAGCCTTGGGAGAGCATCCTACTACACACACTAGCCAGGGAAAGATCCAAATTCCAAATATGTTTTCTACTAAATGTGTTTTACTTCCACACCACTGTAGAGTTGAAAAATTGAAAGTGAACCATCACAAAGGAACCATCTATAGTTTTAAAAAAGTAACAGTATCAATCATTCCAGTGCCCATATGCTTTCATGAGCTATGTTTAAAACTACTACTTGTAGAATATATTTCTTTTTATATATAGTAGGGAGTGAGCTGAGAAGCTTTAGGTTATTTTTCCCCTAAAGAAATCGTTTTTATCTCAACACCATGTATTTATTTCTTCCCTTTAAGTTTCATATACTGCCTGTATTATTTGCCAAATGGCCATTTTTTTTTAATCTATTTCAGATTCAAATTTTATTGCTATCTCTCTAAGTTGATCCCAACATTACACTGTGCAAATTAGTACATCTTTTTTTAAAATATGTTTTAGTACCTAATTGTGCTTTCTGATCAAGTTTATATCTCTAAACAAGCATTAGATTTATTGTCAAATTCTAAACACTATTTTGATTCTGATAGAAATCATGCTAAATGCTTATTTTGGGGAGAATTTAATCTTTATGAAGTCTTTAAGTGTTTTTATAAAGCTTTGTAATAGCATCTTATTTGAGTATAGGAGAGCTATTGGTTTTCACTTTTATACCCAGCTACCTTGCTGCCTCGCTTATAGTTTCTAATGGCTCATTGATATATAGCCTGCAAGTGAAGTTATTTGGTCTTTTCCGCTATTCTGCTCATCAGTTCTCCTCATTGCTGTGGTAAACATTATAGAATAACTCAATATTAATGGTGATAATGAAAATTTTGTCTTGATTCTGACTTTAACAAGGATCTCTCTCGTGTTTCATTGTTATGTCATCTATTGGCTTTTGATGCAGGGTACATATTTTGTCAAAAAACTGTCTATTTACTAAATTCTTTTCCAGAGTCTGTTGAGATAATTATATGGTTCTTCTCCTTGGACTTGTATACAGCAGTTTTACATTTTTATATCCATCAGTCTTCCTTTGTGCATTGCCTTTGGTTCTGTACATAGGTAAGCCTTACCTAAACCGAAATCAGTTTGCGGTCCTCTCTGTTGATGTCTAATCATTTTGGAGAGGGGGGTACCAGGGGCACTCAACCACTGAGTCACATCCTCAGTCCTATTTTGTATTTTATTTAGAGACAGGGTCTCACTGAGTTGCTTAGCACTTTGCTTTTGCTGAAGCTGCCTATGAACTGATGATCCTCCTGCCTCAGCTTCCTGAGCTGCTGGGATTACAAGCAATGTGTCCCTGTGCCCAGCTAATCATTTTTATAGTTTGATATTTTATTGCTTAACTCGGCACAAACTGGAATTTATTTTGATGTTAAATATGAATAATTTTGTCCAAGGACTATTAATGAAATAATCTATTCCTTCCCTACTAAAATGGACAGAAGTTTGGTTTTGTTGCTGTGTTTACTGTTTTGTATTTAATGCTAAGAAAGAGCATTCTGAGGAATATATCCCTCAGAAAAAGGTATCCCACTTATAATGCCTTTTGCTTCTATCCCTTAGTTTGATACATTATGAGGGAGATAGTGGTCAGAACCATGACCTCTTTCCTTGAGTGAGAACCAATATGGCGAAAATGGGTCACCTTTTAGCTGAACGTGGCAGCTTCTTAGCAAATAATGTATATGACTCCCTAATCCTTAGAATTTTAAAAAGAATCCCAAATTACTGTTAGTTTCAGATAGCATGCTACTTACCAGCATATACTAAACACTTGGAGTTTCTGATGAGCTGGTATCTCCCTGCCTGTGTTCAGAGCTGGGTTCCATGGGAAGCTGACTGTGTCACAAGGGTTGTTAGCACACCTGGCAGGTCAAGCTGAATGATGTGCCGTTGCCACCCCATTACCCATGCTCACCACCCAAATTCGGTTCTCATTCAGAATGCAGGGCTATAAGAACCTGTTGGCATGCAGAACATAACCTCTGAATCTCATGAGGCTATTCCCATTAATGATCATCAGATGCATGTCCTTGGATTGCTACAAATAAGCCGATGAATAAGTGCCACATGATTTCTGTCCTTCACATTTGTACACATGGAGCTTTTCCTACATAATCTTCATCTTATATCATAGTATAACATTTTCTGTTTCTTTCCTGTTGATCTTTAGTTAACCCCCAAATTTTTCTTTCATGTTTTCCTTCCTGGCCATCTGATGC